TTACTGCTGCTGATACAGTTGCTACAGCTATAGAAACGGTTGCTGCTGCTGCTGTTAGGCAACATATGCCGAATGGCTTGGCCTGGCCTGGCCCGGCCCGTGGCTAAGCCTTTGTTTGTTCGGGCAGTCAAGATGCTGCTGCAGGGGTTATTATTATATTCTTTCTTGGGCATGTTTGGTTTCTTTATTTTTTTTATGACTTTATCAACGTTTATGGCCTGGCCAATGAGTGCTGGGCAGGGCAAGGGAGGCGTAGACGTGGCAGCAACGCCTCCCTCAGGATTTGCTTAACTATGCGCCAGCTGCCAACTGCTGCGGCTTTGTTATTGCATCATTATAACATGCTTTATGTATTATGCTAACAAATGTGTGTGTACGGTGTGCGTGTGTGTGACTGTGTGTATGTGTGTGTGGAAGGTGCTGACATTGTCGCGCCAGAGCGCCAGAGCCATCTCCACTTTAAAGTGCCCTGAACTTGATTAATGAATGGCAACGCTGAAAAGTATGCTACGGCATGCAGGGCACACCCACACACACACACACTGACACACTCGACATGTCAACGACACGTAGAAGGCGCTGAGCTGGTTGGCCGTAGCATAAGGTGGCATAGAAAAAACTGAGCTCAAACTGCTCAACTGCAAAATACTCTGTTTTCCCAGTGACATTATATAAATTGGGAATTGCTCAGAGCCTCAAGTGCTTAAGTATTCAAAGCAAAGCTCAAGCTTAGTGCCAACTTTGTTAGCTGAAGTGTTGATGATAGGAATATTCGCCGATGACAGCCCAAATATGCCCTCTTTGAGGCTGCCCACAGCAGAGTATCGAAGCAAAAAAGAAATAAAAATGTTGCCCGGGAACACAAATTGAAATTGGCTCACAAGTTGGCAGCTAATTTAATATGATTATGGCGCGGCTGGCCCAAGTAGTAGATGTGCTGGGGAACAAGCAGCAGAGTAAGCAAGTGCCGCTGCAAGCAGCCAGCAGCTGCATTCATTTGCAGATTAGCTATCGAGCGCCCGACCAGTTGTCTTTATGGCCAGGCCGCAGAGCTCGATTCAATTTGCTAAATTTTGTCGCTGGCATCGGCTTAAGAACTTTATCTGAACTTGCACTTTCGACTTGGTCCGCTAGGCGCTGCTATCAGTGCGGGCTTAAGTGGGCTTCCAATTTGTTAACTGTTTTCCTGGTCTCACACTTCTGGCTGCTGCTGCTGCGGCTGCTGCTGCTGCTCCCTGTTGAGTTAACTTGATCCAGAAAAGTTTTGCATGTCCGTTTATAAATTGCCTTATGATTGCCTTTCGATAAACTTTTCTCAAGTGAAATGCTAATACATCGCCGACTTTAAACGATTTTAGCGCATGCAGCGTTACAGCAAAGCGAAAGAGATAGCGCTTGTGTGTGAGAGCTAGAGAGGAAAAGAGAGAGAGAGAGGCTGGCAAACTCTCTCCTGGCTCGCATTCGTATCTTGTGCAAAAGTTGGCGCCGCTTCAGCTTCCTGCTAGCAACAATTTTTATGGTTTCCTGCGCAACGCTTAAATAGATACTCGCTCGCACACACACACGCACGCACACACACACACACACACACACACACACACACACACACACACACACACACACACAGCACACCTCTTCGATAATTTAAATTGTGGCTGCTTCTCCTGCCGTCTGCTGCTGCCTTTGCGTTCTGTAATTTGCTGTAATTGAATTTTAACGATTTGTAGCATAAAAATTTCCTCGAATTTCAGTTTTCAACTTTATTGAAAAATATAAAAAATAAAATATTGATAAATAAGTTTTATCTTCAGCGCATCGAAGCTTGTGACACTCTTACATAAATATGAAAAAGCAGAGATTCTAAAAGCATTGACTTCCTCTGAATACTGCAAAAGCAAAAGAATTCTCATAGTATATGCAAGGGTTAAGCATAGCTGCACACAGCCATTGAGAGTCTTTGGTAAGACAAGAGTATTGCCAATTTGGCTAATAATTTGTCCCATAAAAAGGCTTATTGAATTCGATCAAAGATCAAAGTCAATACCCTCGGCAAGGGTATATAAGTTATCGGGTTGCACGCTTGGCGCAGTCCACTGATTTTGCATCCCGGCTGATTATCGTTGGCTGCACAAATTGCGCATACGCAGCGTTGCCAGCTCATTGAAATTCAACGCTTCAAACAGTTGGAAGAGCCCAGAGAAAACCCATCAACGGCCAGCAGGCGCGAAGCCAAGGCGGCATCCAGTCAGCTCCTGCTCCAGTTTCGCAACGACAGACGAAGCTCATTTTCGATTTGCGCAACAAATGAAGTGAGAAATTATTATTATTATTATTATTATTTCGAAAGCTGGCAACTAAAAGTATTTTGCTGGCATAAGCAAATGTGTAAAGCGCACCCTCAGCCTCAGCTACAGCTTCAGCTTCAGCCTCGACATCGTCTTCGATGCTGCCTGCCATTACCCGTGGGCGCATCACGTATTCACAAAGCAAACAAACTCCGGCGCACGCATAAATAAACAGACAATCGTGTGGGTGTAGGGTTGGAGGGGGAGGTGTGGGCAGGTGGTTGGCTGGCAAGGAAATATGAAAAAATATCAAAACAAAAGGGAAGGCAGAGTACATTTTTGGTAAGCGCTTTCGCCCGTCAGTCACATCATTAAAATCGAGCGCGGTGGCCGTCACCACCTAATTCCAATCCTTGCCGCAAGTTGTGGATGTGCCTGAGACACGAGCGTGTATCAACAGAAGACACGAGCGCACTGGAGACAACAATTCTCTGGAGGCATTCATCAATATGCCAAACATGTTTTCTTATAATCAAATGGAAAACGCTTCATTTTCACGTACAGCTATAGCGGCAGCCGCATCTACAGCTGGAGCTGATGCTGCTGCTGCGCCAGGGCGACGGAGCTGGGGGGCCTGCAGGCAACAGTAACTGAAAATAACAGAGCAGCATATCAGTTAGCTAGACGAGCTGAGAACTTTTTCAGGTGAATTTCGCCAGCTAACTTGGCTGTAGATAGCTGCCAGTCGCTGGCGCCGTTGTTGGACCGCAAAACTAATGGTGCCACGAGCCGGCAACGGGGCTGGGGCACAGCTGGAAATAACGTCGGAGGAGCCGGAGAAGCCACGGAACATATAAATTGATTACCAAAACATTCCACGACAAATTCGGCATGTAACAACAATGACAGAGCACAACTGGGGAGTGGGCGGCTGGCAGTGGGTGGGCGTGTGCTATTTGGTTTTTGCCTCCAAGCTACGGGCAGAGACTGCGCTGCCACGCGCTTATCACGGCAATTGCAATTGACAACAGTTGCCGACAGCAATACGCATACGCATGCTGGAATCGAAATCAAGGAATCAGTCCAAATGCGACAACAAGCTGACGACTCGCACATACACATCGCTATGCATACCCACCGACATAACGTGCATAGTTATGAAAGTATATATCTTGTTACATGTCTGCATGCCTGTGTGCAGGCGTGTACATAGATGCATATGTATGTGTGGACACATGAGTAGACTTACATGCATACATAGCTATAAGCATATGATGCATATACATGCCTACATATACATGCCTACATATGTGCATCAATACATATACATATACATACGTATACTTGATAACAAGTATTCCATAATATGCCATGCAAGACATACATATAAGTATACATACATGCACGCATATATTTGCATATACAGTTGTGTACATACATGCACACATGCATACATGCGCACATACATACGTACATATATATATAAGTATACATACATTCTTTCATATATGTGTATAGTACATACATTCATACATGCATACATGCATACGTTCACACATACATACGTACAAATATATATATATATATATACTGTCCAACACACATACATATATGTATACATACATTCATTCATATATGTACATACATACATACATGCATACATACCTATACTGACCAACATAGTAGTGCATACATGCATGCATATATATATGTACACATGCATACATATTTACACACATATACATACTAACCAGCACAGATATATATATATATATATATGTATACATATGAACCTGCACCCATATATATATATATATATATATATATATATATATATATATATATATATATATGTATACATATGTTCCTGCACTCATATATGTGTATATACTATATACATACATGTGTACATACATACATATACATACTGACCAGCACACATACATATACATATACATATGAATGCACACACATATATTCAAATATATTTACATACATGGCCAGGTGGATACCCTGAACTTGAATATCCTACTTATAAAGCTGCCATTCTAGATACATATACATACACATATACATACACATATACATATACATATACATATACATACATACATACCATATATATACCATATTTTTATTCTGCGACGAATTAATTGTCAACACTTAAAAGTATGCCACATAATCGAGTCGCACTGAGAAATGGTTCAAGTGCTGCCAGCGCGGGTTCTTTGATACACTAGCAATACATATATATGTACATACATACATATGCATGTGTAACCATACATATAAATATTTATCTGTAAAACTCAACAATGCTCTGATAGTCTGACTGTCTTCGAAACTATTTCGAACTATTGCCAGATAAGCTCTAAACTATAATTTTTAGTTCTCATTTCCGGCTCGATATTTGTTATGTTACGTTAAATTGCCCCATTGAAGTGTACTAAAGTCCATAGTTTTTAATTGCCATGGCAATCGGAATATAGATGGAGTAATAGTAGCCCCCTGCAGAAAATATTGTTTGAGAAGTGACAGCATTATATAATTAGACAAGTTATCTGATATAGTCGATATCTATACACCCACTTTAGAGTGTGTAAAAAGGCAAGCTCAAAAGTAAGGTATTCATATAAGCACATACATACTTTATATGCCTAATATACATCCCCTCTATAAACTCTAGCTAGACCAACCAATAGACCAGCCACTAACTTCTAGTAATCGTAGAATATTCAGTTTTTATTTGCATTCAGTGTTTAGACATTGTTTAGTAGTTCAAGTTGTTGACATCGTAAACTTCCTTGGTGCTGCACAGGAATTTATATTTGGGATTGACTCCAGTGGTGCACTTGCTGGCCGGAACTGAGCAGGAGTTGTAGATCTTGACGCCAATGACATTGGTGGCTGCATAGTTGCAGGCCATGAGGAAGGCCTTGTAGCTCTGACCCTTGACCGAGTAGGTGGAGACGGCGCAGCCAACGTGCGTATTGCGATCGGCGACCATGACGGTGAAGTGGCCAATGGTGGGACCGTTATAGTTCGCTGGATACGAATTAATGTAGGCCTGCTGCGTATTGGAGACTTCACTGTACCACATGTTCACGCTGCTGATGGCGTTGGCCGTTGTGTTCAGTGGATTGAAGTAACCGATCCAAGCCAGATTCTGGCCAGCCCAGTTGAAGGCATCCGTATTGCGGCACGCGTCGTGACGCATCTCACAGCTTTTGACGTTGAGGGAGGCCAGGTGGGCCAGCTCGTCGTTCCACTGCATGGTGGCCATGCGGCAGGCGGGACTCAGTTTGCTATCGCCACCGCCGGCAATGAAATTTCTATACTCATTGTGCTTGTCCAAGATCACGTTCTTCTCTGCGGCCGAGAGATTGATCAAAGCCTTGTCGCTGGGACATGCCGAGCCCCAAGCCTGGAAATAATACAGTTCAATGGAAAATCAAGGAATCAAGTACCAAATCACACTCACGCCATTGTTGTTGCAACCAATGTGCTTGCTGCTGCCACAGGTCTTCAGGTTGCAGTAGTCCGTGCCATAGGCGACGCCAAGCAGCAGTCCCACAACCGTTATCGATAGGATATTCCGCATGTCTATTCCCAAGCTCAACTGTTGACGGTGTTGGAGGCGTTCGCTGCTTTTATGCTCGCTGCTCTGTGGGAAGCTCTTATCTATATCTACATACATATATATACATAGAGCGGGCGCAACAATTGATCAAATATTTATCACAACGTTGACTCAGTTCTCTGTTCTCGCCAAGATGTGTAAAGTCTAATTGCTAAATGGAGCTCAGTACGTGGGACCATTAAAGACGTCACTAGCAGCAGCTGAAAGAGATAATAAACTGTGATAATTAAACCAATTCTACGACCACAAGAGACTTGACCAAAAGCTGCTTGCTATGCCACACGATTCAGAGAGCGAGGGCAAAGCAACCTTGAGGTGAGAGTAAGGCAGGCACGTGCCTTCACCTCATTTGCGTGTCCAACGCAAATGTTGACCATAACGAAATGCTTAAAAAGCAGAATCACATTGCACGCAACACTGAGAAAAATAAGCTGCAGTGAAGTGTTTACAATATTGAAAATCTTCTTGGTTGCTGATACCAAACCAAAATTGAGAATCGCATAGGGGAGCATAATATGTCAAATATATGCAGAGGTTTATGCGAGCGGGAATCTGACAGTGGGACTACAATTTTGTTCAAATTAATATTAATTAAATGAAAATCAAATTATTTTGTGGCTCATTTCATTTAATTTTGTCACATTGCTCAGTAGTTAAGATTGTTAGCATTGATGGCTTCCTTGGTGCTGCATAGGAATTTATACTGCGGATTCACTCCAGTGGTGCATTTGCTGGCCGGGACTGAGCAGGAGTTGTAGATCTTGATTTTGGCAATATTGGTTGTGGCATAGTTGCAGGCCATGAGGAAGGCCTTGAAGCCCTGGCCATTGGCCGAATAGGTGGAGGCGGCGCAGCCCACGTGCGTATTGCGATCGCTGACCATGACGGTGAAGTGGCCAATGGTGGGACCGTTGTATGAGAGGGGATAGGCCATGATAGTCGCCCGATTGACATGGGCTATTTCGTCGTACCACATACCAATGGATTTTAGGGCCAGTTCATTTGCATTCATTATATTGTTGTTAGAAGTAACCCAAGCCAGATTCTGGCCGGCCCACTGAAAGGACTTCGTGTTGCGGCAGGCGTCATGTCTTATAGCACAGCTTTTAACGTTGAGGGATGCCAAATAAGCTAGGTCCTCGTCCCACTGCATGGTGGCCATTCGACAGGCGGGTGGTAGATTTTTTTCGTTTCCTCTGGCAACGATATTTCTGTACTCATTGTGCTTGGCCACAATCGCGTTCTTCTCGGCCGCCGAAAAAGTGATTAGAGTTTTGTCCTGCGGACATGCCGTGCTCCAGGCCTGTCAACAAAAAAGAAATAAGGACAAACCTAAAGATCGTTGCTCCACACGATTGACACTAACCGCCTTGTTGTTGCAGCCAATGTTCTTGTTGCTGCCACAATTGTACTTGCAGAAGTCCGTTGCACAGAAGGCGCCCAAGAAATGTCCAAGTATGATTATTAAAAAAATATTTTGCATTTCTATGACACAGCGCAGCTGTTGGCAGAGCTCAGACTGATCGCTGTAATTTTCTCACTGTGCTAAAGCTGATCGTTTAGCTAATGTCCGTGACAATTAATCAAGCATTTAGCACTTCTCGCAACGGCAAATCGAGCTGTCTGCAACTCAAAGAAGAGGCAAAACGTTCAGACTACTTTGGCCAAAAGATTCAAGGAATATAAGCATTATCTATATATATACCAAATTTTTTGATTGCAAAATATTTTTATTAATGTTGTCAAAGTCAGAAACTATACATTGTAGACCTCTGCCACCTTGCACAAACCCGCATAGTTGACATTTCTGCCCGTGGTGCAACCGGCTGCTGTTACTCCACGTACATAGACGGCTTGACCAACCCAGTTAGTCGTGGCGTAGTTGCAGGCTAAGAGGAAGTTATTCATAATGCCCGTTTTGTATCTGGCAGCAGCACAGCCAACGGCCCAATTTGGCTCCCGAGCCATGACAGTAAAGTGACCAATTGCGCTGCAAGGCGAGAGTTGGATTTCGATGAAATAGCAGAGGAAATTGAAGGAATTGATGGCTACTCACGGTCCGGACCAGCTGCCTGGAAAACTACTGATTACATTCATGTTGGCATTCTTATACTCGTTCCACCACATATTAATAGAGGAGGTCAGCAGCTCCTGGTTGGTACGAGCTGATTCGGCGCCACTATAGCTAATCATGGCCAAGTTCTGTCCGCTGGCCTTAAACTTGTTCGTATTATGGCAAGCATCATGCTTCATCGCACACTGGAGCACATTGAGGGCAGCCAATTTGGCCAACTCGGGACTCCAGCGAATGGTGGCCATTCTTCTGGCCGGTCCGTAATTAGGCAACTTGCCCAAGGCCAGATTGTTGCGCCTGACGTTGTGCAAGCGCACCACATGTTGTCTCAGGGCCAGATTCAGATCGACGAGTTTGGGTGCCGGACTTTTTGGACAGCTCGCAGCCCAGGCCTAGGAAATTGCATGTCAATAATATTCAGGCATCTCCAAGGACACGAATTGACCTACCCCATTGTTGTTGCAGGCAATGTGTGTGCTACTTCCGCACAGGCCGGCGGTACAGTAGTTAACCTGTCCGAGAACTACGGACACGACCGTGCTCACTGAAAGTATAGCCAAAACAATTCGCAACATTGCAGAATAGACAGCTATCGATGAATTTTGGTTCTGGTCTTATATACTGCTCGCTAAAGAAGAAGTTTATTGCCAAAAATATGGCAAGGCATATACCTATTTGCATTTACTGTTTGTTAAATAAATAGTCTTATCAAAAGTTATATCAACAAGCCAAACGTTGGTCCGGAACACACGAAACACAATGAATACATCTGTGCTTACCAGCCATCTGGATTTATATGAAGACATCATTGATAGAAATAGATCTAAAAAAAGTTTTGATTAACTCCATAAACCAATTTTCATTACATTAATTGTTTTACAAGAAGTCAAAGTCCGAGTCAAAGGCAAAAACATTTGCATCATTCCAGTTGTATAAACAACAAATAGTCTCCCGTAGACGTATGTCTATGTTATACCCTTTACATACATTTTTATATATCTGTTATTTGTGAATCTAGAAGCCTACTTAGGCATGATAACAATATTTCCTATGTAAATTAACTGTTTTCTTTAACTATGAATTTATGGAAAATAAAATTAAAAGGTAGATAGATAGATGGATATATAGACAAATAGATAGATTGAAGGATAGATAAATAGATAAATAGATAGATAGATAGATATATGAATAGATAGATATATAGAAATTTTTATAGTGAATTTATGGATTGGTAAAGTAATAGATACATAGACAGATATATAGATATAATATATAGCCTTAATCCATAACCATCACATTGCCTTTTTAATACAAATGATGTTAAGATATATATAGACTGTCTCTATTTGTCTCCATCTGCGCAATACCTCGTTGTTTGTATCGCGCAAATAAAAATAGCGAAATAAATCAACAATCAAAAACAGTGCACAAAACTGTTTTTTTTTTTTTCAATAACATGTGCGTGTAAATCGGCGGAAAACAAGTTTAAAACTATGAACTTAAATTAGTAAACTATAATTTTTTTTAATAAAAACAAAAGGAAAGTATCTTGGAGTACCTAAGTATTCTCTGTCTTAGATATCTATGTTTCTAATTGCTTGTAAGCGAACAAGTTGTTGCCCCATTATTGCTTCTCAAATTGCCATGTAACAATGCGAGATCTTTAAAAAGAATTTGTCAAGCCAAAGATGGCTGCACAATCCAAGAGATAAGAACCGGCGTAAGCAATATTTGAAATTGTCTTCAGAAGCAGTAGCATCAGCTTTTATTATATAAGTTCACAGCTCCCCACTTAAAAATAAAAATACTGGAGATTTGTAACATATTTGATATGCTGCCATTTAGTTATATGTACTTGTAAGTTTTTATTATGGGTCTTTAATTGTTGCCGTACTCAGCGATAAGTAGTTTACTTTTGTTTCTCTTCGCGCATACGGCTCGTATGCGTATATATATAATATTTAAAATTTCTTTTTCTTTATTAATTTTTTTTATATGTGTATGGATATCATTAATCGGTACAGAAAAATAAATATCATGCATACAGTGTTGCATCTCTGTTCTCTGCTTTTACTCTCTGTCTGTCTCTATTTCTCTCTTATCTTATTGCATCTCTGTGGTTCTGTATATATATCTATATCTATATGTATTAGGTATTTATTGTGTATATATTTTTGCGTAATTTCTCTTTGATTCCATATAATTTAGTGGTCTGCATAAGTTAATCTGTGGGCTGTTTTTTTTTGTAGCTATTTGCTTCACTAGGTTTTATTTTCATTTCTTGTTACATAATTACGTAATATGTATAATATTTGCGCTCAGTGGCGTTGTCATAAATTGTACACACAAAATATGGGCTTTATTTATTTGTTTTTTAATCTTTGTTTGTTCTTTTTTATTTTGTTTTTAATATCTGTTTTGTTGTCTGTCAAAACAGTTATCAACAATGTCTTCGAGCTTCCCATAATAGTTGAGAATCGAGTTACAATACATTCAAAGTTAATATTTGAGAACATTTTATATATGATTTACATGCTGTATATAGATAATAATATGCGCTTATATACATAGCTACGGATTAAACAAAGTTTTTCGCTTTATAGCAAATGAGAAAAGCCTTGCGTGAACAAAATTCGACAATTGTGCAACAGCCAACAAAAAATTGACTTTAAGCCTTTTCGACCAAATACATGTATGTATATTTATTATTTTTATTAATTTTTTTTTTGAAAAAAGTTTGCTTATAAATATAAAATAATATTATGTTAAGTACGTATCGTATGCGTGTGTGTGTGTTAGTATGTACAAAAAGGTGTATGCGAGCCAGGCCTCAAAGTAGACAACGCTTTAACGCAGCAGCTAAAAGTAGGCTACGATAAATGGCACAAGACGCTTGGCGTTAAGACCTATAAATCAGTTAGATATTTCTAAACTAATACAGAGTCTGCAAAGTTTCAATAACTATCGCTAAACTAATGGAACAGACAATCAACTTGTTTCTTGCAAAAGATGTTTCCTCGTCATGTGCAGGATTTATTTAGAAGTTATCGTAAGTTAAAGATAAAATATTTATATTTCGCTTTATTTACAACTTGTCATGCATTTGTTGTAGTTGTATCTATTCGATTATTAAATAATATAGGCATACAGGTTGTTAAACATGTCAATTGATGTAGCATTATGTACTTATATAATGTAGTATAACAAATGAGCAAATTATATCTTATAGAGGCTAAGCGCACAAATGAAATATCCACAAATCGTTTTTAATAATAATTGTGATGATTTTGCGTATATACCTTGAGGCATATGCCTTCTCGGTTTCTATCATATCAGTATAGATAAGTTTATAGAATTTAAGTCGTAATTATGTTTACTTTAACTTTTTGTGGGATTTAACTGGAACGTTTAACTGGGCCAATTCGCGTAATATAACCATTGACTATCTGTGTTTATATATATATATATATTGTTTTTGTATATACTACGTATATAATACCTAAACATAAACCACGAGGGCTAAAAAAAATAAACATACAATCTTATACATAAAGAGAGTGCCGTTAGTTATCATAAGTAGAAGAAATGGAAAGCAACCCATGAGAACTTGTACAAACGCAAAGTATCTCGCTTCTGTTTTCCATCCTGTACAATATATCTTTAAATAGTGTATATCCCTAGTAACTAACATGGTAGTTATAGTATTGTTAATTAATAGACACCTTTTGCATTTAGCATTAACAACGTTTTGAGTGCTGGCTTCCTGGTTTCCTTTGTGTGCTCATTAATTTCATTTATCCTCTTTTCATCTTAAGTACAAATCCCTTTAACTTTGTTGCTGTTGCTGCTGCTCCGGCGACTGTACTACAGCCGTCGTTACTGCTGCATTAGCTACTGCTGCTGCAGCTGCTGATGGCTGCTGTTGTTGCTGTTGCTGTGCCGGCGACGGCGGTGGTCCAAACTTGCTAGTTATCTTGTGCGAGGCATTGACAATAGCCAGCTCATGCTTGGAATCCAAATCACAATCGTAAAGACCGCTGAGCGAGTCCAGGCTGAGCAGGCGCGAGCTGGCCCGACTCGATACCGAGGTGTCATCCACATCGGGTGCATTATATAGCGAGTTGACATCTGACAAAGCGCCCTCGGCATCGGTCAAACCAGCCTCGTTCAACAGCGAAATATTCTCCAGGCCAGGCTCATCGGTTATATAGCCTGTTGACTCCGCGCCACCTGAGATAGAGACAGGGATAGAGTTAGAGAAACAGAAGAGAAGAGTTAGTTGCTGTTATCTAAGTTATTTGTGCAATTGTCTACCTGTGGCCTCTTCGCGACAATCATCGTCCGACCATTCCGATTGGCTCTCAAGCGGATTGGAGTCCATGGACTGGTGGTTATGATGCGCCGCCCCATACTTCAACTCATCGTTTATCACATTCAGCTCCGAGCGCAGGCTGCCATTGGTCAGCGGCGCTGTCTCTCCTCTTAGCTGTTCCTGCTCCAGCTGTTCGTGTTGCTGCTGCCCCAGCTCCTCATTGTGCGCCTGCTGCTGCTGCTTATCGTTCTTTAGCTTATTGTGCTCGCTCTGCAGCAAGCGCTTCTGTCGCACATCACGCCCAACCTCATCATCCTCGAACTCTTCATCCGCCAGGTTGTCCTCCGTATCATCGCGTTCCTCCTGCTCCATATGATTGGAGCGCAACTGCTGCTGTTGTTGGCGCTGCTGATGATGGTGATGGTGATGATGATGCCGCTGCCGCTGGGATTGTTGCTGCTGCTGCTGCAGCATCGAGCCATCCAGCCTGTCGATACTCTCGTAGCTGTGCTGCAGCTCCTTGGAGCGCGGACGCTGTCGATACGATCTCTGCTGTTGCTGCAGCTGCTCCTTGCCCGCATGCAGCTCCAACATAGCAAGCGCATGCATTTGGCTGCGATTCTCGTGCAGTATCTCGCACGATTCCGTGTCCGAGGTTTGCCTGCAAATATGAAACATATTAGTTGCTGGCATTTTATTGTAACTACATTTTGTATCCTTACAAATTTCTTTGCTGTAAGCAAAAGGTTAACAATTCAAACTCATTCATTTTATTGTATACAATCCCAAGCATTATCATCTAACTGCTTCGAGGTCAGAATCTCGATTTTATGCTTATCACAACCGATGTGAAAATCGAGCTTCATGAACCTTATCCATTGAGTTTTTTACTAGCATATATAAGTATTTTTTGTTTGATTAGAAGTATTTAACTAGGAATCAGTTGGTGTTCCCCGACTTAAATGGAAATGTCGCAATCGTGTATCCTGAAACAAAGCATTGTATTGTCTTGTGCCATATGTGTTTGTATCAGAAGTTGACTGAGATACGAGCACTTTTGTTAGATCAGAGACCACAAGCCGAACGATACTTTGGATCATTTACAAGTGTGTAAATGTTAAGAGCTTGAGAGCGAGCGAGCATGGGCTATGGACAATGGTAATGACATGGACTGCTGCTTGGTATTAGAAACATATGGCGATACGGAGGGCAGATCGAGGCATTGGTCAATGGACTTTATGTTAGGCTGGGTGTTTTGCTGGATGGCTTTACTCACATTTGACTGGACTCGGAGGGGTTCTTGTGGCGCGTTATTTCCTTAATGGCCTCGAGGCCGACGGGATGCTTGGATATCATGAAACTGCTGCTCATGGGCAACTTGCCGTTTGCCTGCATCGCCATGGCGAGCAGTTCATGATCCTGCTGCAGCTCCTTATGATAGTTGTTATTGCCGCTATTCGAGTTACTGCCACCGCTGAGATTCCCATTGCTGCTGGATCCACCTTCAGCCGTTAGGGCCAGCCCTTGCCCCTGCACGTGTCCATTGATGGAGCTCAACTTGCTGTTGCTAGCCGAGTAGCTCAGATCGACATTGGGGCGACCACTGCAATTGCTGGTGGTTAGATCGGCATTGTTGGTTGCCGCCGTGGTGGCTGAGACTGCAGCCAGGCAGCGCGCTCGCGTGGATTCGTTGAGCAGTCTTTGCAGTTCCCTCTCGAAGGGCGACTTGGTGGCAGTCGCTGCAGCGGTGGCCGCTGAGCCCGCAGCCGACATTGCCACCGCCGCGCCCGCTCCCGTCTTTTTCTGGTAGTCAAAGCTGTTGCAGCTGTCGCCTTTGTGCTGCGTGTTGCTCGTCGTGTTGCTGGTGGTCTGCTGGCCGTGACTTTCGGTCGTCGAGCTAAGCTCAAAGTCGCGCAGCTGCGTCATGTCCACAACAGGCGATGTGGGATCAACTTGTATATCGCAGGGATAGAGCCATTGCAACGGATTCACGCGGCCCACATTGTAGCCAATGCCCATGCCGATGCCCAGACCATTGCCGAGTCCGTTGCGCTGCAGATGGCCGCCATTGATGCGCGGCGAGTCCTCGTCGCCCTCACCCTCGCCCTCAGTGGTCTTCGAATAGCTCTCATCCGAGCTGCTCATCGAGGGCGAATGGGGCCGTGAGCTGAGATCATCCGTCGATGACATCTCGCGGCTCTCCTCCATATCGTTTGGCAACTTCGGCAGCGGCTTCAAATAGCTTCTCAATGCCGGTTTCGGTGGCAGCTCCGGCAGCGGTGGTTGCTGTGAATAGAGCGCATACTGGCGATCCGGCTGCTGTTGCTGCTGCTGTTGTTGTTGCTGCTGTTGTTGCTGCTGCAGTGACAACACGGAGTTGGGACAGGTGTAACGTGGTGGCTCGTACTTTGGCGCATGCTGCATGGGCATGATCTAGGTGTTAGTCGTGAATGTGGGCGTGGTGCGATAGCATGCAAAAAGTGGAACATAGTTAGAGACACACAAATATTCAGAAACTTATATAAATGTATAAATATATATATAAATATATATATATATTATATATATATATATAAAGATATACGGAAACAATCAATAATAGGTCAGCATTCACAGAGCAATAGTCGGTAATAGAGTTTCATTATAATGAATGCGTAATCTTTGCGCCTGTGTGTGTATGTGTGTCGGGTCTGAGAGCAAAACTAATCTCTTATTGGCTATTGAATAGAAAAACACAAGTCTCCAGAAGCATACTGAGAGCTTGATTCACAATGAGCCATAGAGCCAATATTATGTATTATAATAAATTCATATTGCTAAGTTTCAAATAAGCTGAAATATATATATATATATATATATAATATATAGCCAATAGCAGATATTTACCCCTGCTGGGTCTGCCATAGTCTAACGTTATAAATAATTTAAATGCTTAAATATAGATTTATTTTGTAAATATCTTCATTAATAGGAGCCCGGGATATTAAGTTTCTCTTTTCTAAATTACATTTTCCTAAGCTCTGTTAAGATGACACACCCACACCTACACACACACACACAGATAACGCTTGTACAGGTAAATATACCCCGTCACTTTATGCATGCTTTTTATTAGTTACAAATGGGTGGATTGGTCTGTGGATTGGCTGGTTGGCTGGTTGGCTGGCGGATTGGCACATTAGGTAACGGCTTGGGTTGGGAGCGAGCTTCATTCAGAGTAGTATCTCTTTGCTCCAGATCATGAGGTCAACGTCTTCACTCACCTTGGCTACCGGCGCGACGCTGCTGGCATGCAATAGCGGCTCGCTCTCACGGCAGTGGCCATAGCCCAGGCTGGAGGACGATGGCTGAAGCTGATTCATATGCTGATGCTGGTGATACAGATGATGCAGTGGGTGATGCTGGCCATGCTGGTTAAAGGGCAGCGCCGGCGGCGGCGCATAGCTGCGCAGCTGTTCGCGCCGCGGCACCATAAAGCAATCACCGCCCAGCACACCGACCACCCCACCGCCATCAAGGCTATTGGCATGATGTGGCCGCTGCGCTGGCGGCAACTGCTCCAGCTGCTGTTGCTGCTGTTGATGCTGCTGCAGCTGTTGATGCCTGCCACCGGTATTCGGATTCTCAATTATATTGAATTCGCGCAACATTACCGAAGGAATGGACTGGTTCTGGAGCTGGTGCTGGTGCTGGTGCTGGTGCTGGATCTGGAGCTGGTGCTGGAGTTGGAGCTGCTGTTGCTGCTGCTGTTGTTGCTGTTGCAGTTGCACTGCAGCCGTAAGTGTTGTTGCCGCTGGCGCTATAGATAAATTTGATGCCACATAATGCATCTCGCCATTGTGTCCATTCTCCCGTATATTGGGCAATCCACCATTGGTCATAAAATTGGGCTGCTTTTGAAGCTTGCTATTGAGGCGCTGCTGCTGCTGTTGGTGCAGATGGTGGTGCTGTGTAGGTGGTGTTGGCAGCGGCTGCTGGTGCTGGTGCTGCAGAAGCAGCTGCTGCTCCTCACCACACACGTTGTACAAATGGCCATTATCCTTCTTGCTATAGGTGTCCGTGTTGAGGCGATTCTCCTGAAACTGTGACGCCTTCTGATAGTATTCGGCGGGATGCAGGCCGCCACCAGCATGTGACAGCGACTGCGTTTCATTCGCTGACGACGGCCGGTTGCTGATCATAGCGTTGCGCACCTCGCCATTGAGAGCATTGCTGCTGCTATCGCAGAGGAAATAGGTGACCATGTCACCCTTGCCTTTCACCTTGATGGTGCCGCGACAGCGAAACTCAAAATGTGAGCCAACCAAGCTGTCCACCACCTCCTGGGTCACCTGCGAGTAGCCGGGCACACCAGTCGAATCCATGCGACTTGCCACATTCACCGTATTACCCCAGATATCATACTGCGGCTTCCGAGCACCGATCACCCCCGCCACAACGGGACCAATATTGATGCCTGTGTGTGAATGGGAATATGGTTAAAGAGAGCTACTCATGGTGTAGTGTTTCCAATTGGTATACTACTCACCCACGCGTAGCATAAAGTTGTTGTAGGAGTGGCTGTTGATCTCCTGCAGGGAGAGGCGCATGGCCTTGACGTATTCGACCAGTGCGGTCATGTGGCGCCGCACGGAGTTGGGATCATTGGGCTGAATCTTGTATTCGGGTATGAGGCCGACCACGGCCATGTAGGTGCTGCCCACGGTCTTGATCTTGTCAATGCCCCGAAAGCGATCCTCTTTGAGCAGCTCATCAAAATCAGCGATAATCTCATTGAGCAGGCGCAGGCACTCGAGCCCCTGATCTGACCCATCCATTTCAGTATAGAACTCATTGAAGTTCGGCACACTGGCAAATATGACGCCCACCTTGGCGTAGCTCTGATGATAAAGCTCCTAAAATAAAGTTGAAGCCGATTAGTGGGTCAACGGGTCAGTGAAAAGTGGCAGGCGCTATTCTCTCTTCCTCTTACCATATTGTTACGAAATTGCGCATCGAGAAAATGTGCAGCCACATGAGCGGGCAGCAAATTGTGCAGAATGCGCTTATTCGACTCCTGCAGCACATCCATTTCCTTCTTCTCCTGTGAGGCCTGCAGCTGCCAGAGAAAGTCCAAGCGGGCGGTGCCCTCCACCAAGCGTCCGTGCACCAATATCGCAATCATAAAGATGACAATTCGCGCCAATGAGATCAAATGAAGCGGAATAGATGCTCTAAAACGTTAGAATTCGATAAATATACTTTGTACATATACATATGAGATGCTTAGGAGCATGTGGGTCAATCGAATGACCCTTGACCACCTACTTGACGCGAGTGTCGTAGCAATCAAAGATATTCTGATGCGACAGCTCAATGAACAGGCCATAGATGGTGCCCATGCCCAGTACGAGTAGCGACTTGAATATAATCGGCAATCTACGTGGAACAAGGTCATAGTTAAAAAGAACTTTTCCAACAGTTTCAACGGCATCCAGGCTCACCTGAGAAACACGGATACGGAGAGGAAAGCAAAAGCTGCCGACAGCGAAACGTATTGCGGCAAGGAACACTTGCGATGTGCATCGTTTTGTTTGCTAATCAATGGCGAAATGTGATATCCCTTCGAGTCAATAATTTGGTTGTCCAGATTGTGGTTGTCCAGCCCTTGGTTGTCGAAATGAGTTTCGTTAACCGAACAGGGATGGTCCGTCACGCAGGTAAACTGAAAGTGGACAGAGAAGGCATTTAATAAGCCAACATCTATATAGAATTTAATATTTGTTTCGGCTAACGTTGCACTTACCACATTCACCTGGCCCACGGAATAGATGAGTATAATAGTAAATATGGTGATGGCCATTCGCAGCGAGAAGCTCTCGGAAATATCCCAGATGATCCACTTTAGGCGAACGGCCAGCAACAGCATCAGTATGGAGCTGACCCAAATGAATGCCGTGAGGAACAACAGCAACAGGATTAAGGTGCGCGGCAATGCGGTCACCTGCAACGCGGCGCCAAGTATGAGCAATAACAGGGAGCAGCCCATGGCCGTTGTGAAGCCCAGATCGAAATCCTTGTGATATTCGCGCTCCTTGTCGCTCTGCCGGAAGCGCAACGTCAATCGATCCACATGCTCCGACTTATCACAGTCAACGGAGCGAGCATTTATGGCCTGGGAGAGGAAGCGATTCACCCGATTTGTTGGCTGATGATGAGCGGCCACCGAATGACGTTTGCGGAACGGTCGCTTAAACTTGTCCACGACCTTAGACTGTGACTGTAGGGGAATGCAGGTAAGACAAAATGGGTTAAGTTAGTGCTGATTGTTGTTCTCGGTGGCTCGTGGTTGTGTGGTGTGCTGGCTTGCTGGCTAGATCGAAGAGAGTACCAAGTACCAAATGTTGTACACACTAAATGGATCTAGGGCATGCAGTTGAGAGCAGAGCTGTGTAGCGGCATGCGGTGTGAGTTTGACGAAGCTACCGCAACTGGACGAAACATGACGAGATGGGTGCGCCACGACTGGACATGCGTTAAATGTTAAAATGGAGGCTAGTCGCTTTTTATTTATTATTATGAAACTTAACGATGCTCGACAAGACTTAACGAAACTTAACTGAACGCCGCAAATGATGAGCTTTTGCTTTAAGCCCGCCCAAAAAAAAACTGAAAGCATTAACACTTACAACAATAAGAAGAAAAACTTAAATTTAATTAAACGAAACTGAAAACAAGACTTAACGAAAGCGTAACTTAACGAATCGTACACTAATGAGTTAGCAAAACAGCACGTAACGCTTGAACATGAACGAACGTGTACAATACAGGACAACACAATACTTAACGAAACACAAAACTGAACGAATGTGAACGAAAATTAAACATTTGTTTGGTTGCTGCTCTGCTCACTTTATTATTCTTGTGATTGTGCCTATGTATGCGACTAATCGTACTCGCTGTTGAATTGGGACTTGTGCCTACGGTCACTTGAACACTGCCCGCCCCGCCGCCGCCGCTGCCGACGACGCTGCCATAGCCGATGCCGTGCGGTGGCGGGGTAGCATGCAAGATTTTCTGTAGACGTATTACCTAGATCAGAGAAGTATACACAGTATTTCATATTGTATATATATATATGAATATATATAGTTTGTAAACGTATGTATATATACTTATGTATATAAAAGAGTGATAAATTAAAATAGTATTGTCAAAAAGAACAAGGAATCGAACAACGGCAACGGTAACGGTAACGATAGTTAAATATGATTAGGTTCGATAAGGATTAAGTTAAAGATAAAGCTAGCTCAAGTATGGTATATCGAAAGATAAAGCTTATGTAAACAAAAGGGCAAAGTATTAAAGCCAATTGGAAACGGGACAAAGAAACTAAACTGGAAACCGGAAACTTTGATAGCAGATAGCAAAATATAGTTTAGTGTCAGTTCAGCGTTTAATCGTATGTTATGAATACTAATTCGATTCGATATATATCGTTTAAGTTTTGCATTATTAATCAGTTCATTTCAATTCTCAGTTTTAGTGTGCCTAAAGCTTGCGTTTAGTGTACTTAACTGATCTTCACAGTGCGATTGTGTCACGTGTTGTCTGTGCTGTGTGTGTGTGTGTGTGTGTGTGTGTGTGTGTGTGTTTGTTTGTGTGTGTGTGTGTGTGTGTTTGTTTGTGTGTGTGTGCGTGTGTCTTTTATCTGATCAACAAAGATAGTGTGGCTGTTAGTGGGTATTACCGATGAGTCCAATAAGTAATAATATTTTTCTGCTGCTACTCTTTACACACAAAGTACGCACAACATCGACACAAACACAATAGACGAAGGTTTTCTTTTTATTATTATTATTATTATTTTTTATAGTTTTGGCCAGTAGAGTACAGATGTTAGTAGATACAACAGTACGGATTACAAATCACAAATTACGAATCAAAAGATAATGATTACTGATCAACCAACTGTACTACGCATAATACCAAAAGAAAATATTATTTTTTATAAACTATGCAAATTATTGCGTCTACGACACAAAAGAGCCCACAAAAGTTAAAAAGAGTCAATAAAAAAAGAAGAGTCGAGGGGACAGAGTTTTTTTTTTTTGATTGGGGGGAATTTGGGTACATTTCATACTATACTTATAAGTAAGGCGAACTTACCGCATCCTGAAAGTAAACGAAAAGAAAGGAATCAACGAAAGAAATCATAAAGAATTGTCGCACTTAACATCGAGCCGACGACAGTTTATTGAGATTCGAGTGTATCCATGAGATACGATTCGAGAAACGGTAAAAGCGACTAAATGCGAATGTAACTGACCCACAATAAAGCTCCGCATAAGACCAAATACTTTATTTATGTAAATATATATATATACATATATATAGATATAGATATCCGGACATGCAGAGAACTGAGCTACGACTACTACGGAGCTACTACAACGAGTCTCTGAACTCTAAACACTGGACTACGGCCTTGCAACTATCGACTAAGTACTATATAAATTATAAGCTATAAACAGTGGGCATTGAACACTTACCTTGCGCGAACCCTTTTCCGACACCTGGACACTGGCAGTGGTCGCGTCTGTGTTACTGCCACGTGCCACGCCGCCGCCCAAGGCGGCAGCCGCCGATGGAAACGAACCGGTGGCAATGTTGGAGAATGGCACCGGCTCCGAGAACTTGATGGTGTGCAGCAGCTGCATGACCACATTCGAAACGTTTCTAAATGATAGCTTGCGCCGACTACCGATCGCCGAGCGTACACCAAGCGTGTTTAGCATTAGGGGCTGCAATAAAGACACCAATACACATACGCGGCGCGAGTGCCACAAAAAAGAGAAAGAGATGGGCATGAGAGCGAACGCTACAAAGCGGCAGCATCTAATTAGCTGGCAAAGCGCAGTCAACTCACCTTGCGCCGATGCGGCGGTGGCACAATGAAGAACGTATCCACCCCGTGGTCCCGCAGGTACGACGAGCGCTCATCGCCGTGGCCCGCCTCCACCTCGTACTCGCCCGACAGCGAATCGAGGGTGGCGCGCGTCACATGCACTCGGCCCGGCTCGCCGCCGGACTCCATGTGATTGGCCAGCGTTACATCGTTGGACCACACATCGAATTGCCACTTGCGCAGCCCCAGAACGCCGCAGAGCACACGGCCCGTATGGATGCCCACGCGCATGTTCAGTATAACATCGGTAGCCTCCACAACGGTTCTATGTAGCATCAAAGCAATGGATTAGGCAATGGACTTTATGTGCAGCATACTTAAATCTGAAACACGGGAGGTAATAGCGGTACTCACGCAATGGCATCGATCATATCGAGTCCCATTTCCACGGCGCATTTGGCATGATCCTTGCGAGGCTCCGGCAAGCCGGAGACACAGTAATAGCAATCGCCCAATATTTTGATGCGCAAGCAGTGGTTATCCTAAAAAAGTGGAATGAAATTAGAATCTTGATCTGTATTTGATTGATCTGTAGTTTGCAAACTCTGCTGCAACTCACGTGCGCCAGCTGATCGAAGCGGCCGAAGAGCTCGTTGAGCAGACGCACCAGCTCCTGGGCGCTGCACTGCGAGGAGAGCACGGTGAAGCCGACTATGTCCGCAAACAGAATGCTCACGTTCTCGTGCTTCTGTATGTAGATGCGATGAAATTGGCCAGCGACTGGCGACAGAATATCGTTCTTCATCTGCATGGCCACGTGCTGGGGCAGCACCGAGAGCAGCAATCGCTCCAGTTTCTCATTTTCGTCCTGTATCTCCAGGCGTGCAGCAATGCAGTTGCGTGTATCGAGGAAAGCGCGACGCTGGGCACGCTCCATCATAATGTTGACCACCAGGCCAGCGACATTCACCCCAATGAAGATAACAATGTTGGCTATGAGCTGATAACGCAGCGAAGACGTAAAGATCTTATAGACCGTAAAGCTGATGTGCACCGAAGGCAGCGTAATGCCAAAGGCGACCGCCTCCCAAATCTGCAGCGGCATCATGGCATATGCCAGAAAGACAACAAACACTATCTGCCAGACACCCTCGGCCATCACCTCCTTGGTGTCCACCGGAAAAACGCTGCCCAGCGTCGGCATCGAAACGATGCAGATGCTGGCCGTAAACAGGAGAATGCCATAGCACAATGTCGGCAAGTGGTGATCCTTGATGACGGAGCATTGCAGCAGCGACAGCACAACGGCGAACAGCACACACAAAATCGAGTTGAAGATGTTCTAAAATTATTAAAAATATTGATTAATTATTTAACAGCTAAGCAAATGAACAAAACTTAGTAACTGAACTAGTAACTAGTTAATTATGCCAAATTTGCAGACTATTTGCAGGCCTAAAACACATTTTCCTTAATATAATGAGAAACTTTAATCTCAACTCCATTTTCATTATGATTTATCGCAGCTAAGTTATCTAATTTCTCCTCAATTTGAAGTTATTTCGTTTTGCTTTTATCGAATACCTTCGCTGCCTGCTAATGCACATATCGTTAAAGAGAAATGTAAACAGATTATAGATACTATTAGCAAGTTGATCCATGAGCGCTATATCAGTTCACTTCCACTAAATTGGCAATCCTTGTTGATAGTTCGTTTAAAATTCAGCTGCCTGTTAATAGTTTGTAAATGCGCCGACCTTAAATAGTCCGCTTAACTATCCGGAACTAGTTAACTGAAACGAAAAGTTTTGCATGAACAATGCGCCATGCTTACATGAAAGGTGGCCGCATTGTTAAAGGCCAGGGACAGGGCGGCCATCACACCGCAGAGGACAACCACAAGTGCGACGACGCCCAGCACTGAGAAGCGTTGCAGCTTGAGCGTGTAGCGCTGATAGAGGCATTCCAGTTCATCGTTCTCGAAGCGCAGCGTGTTGAGCGGGCGGCCGCGCGTCGCCTTGACGGCATGATCCATGCGGCTGCCGTCGCCGCCGCCGCCGAGCGGCTGCTCTCCAACGGTCTGCCAAGTTCAAGGGCTGCAATAAAAACAAAAAGACAGCAGGTGAAAATTAGTTGCTTCAACTGGTTTATTTGCGTGGGTTACCCCCCCCCCCCCCCTTGCTTTTAATTGCTACGATTCGACCTTGAAACGTTGCACGTTCGCTGGGTGAAATGTTTTGGCATTTTCCGTGGCACGCAATCACTGGGTAGGAAAATGTGACCGCCTGCCAACCAGCTGGCCCGGTTGCCCGGTTGCCCGGTCGCCCGCCCGCTGTCGCACCACTTAAAATAACATTTTCATTTCGAACCCTTTACGTCCCCCTTAAACTTCACGCCAGCTGAAAATAACCGCTAAAAATAAGCAGCTCAGCAGCTCTGTGGCTGCTTTCTGGCGTGAAATCAATCAATGTTCATGTCCGTTCGGTCAGTTCTTCTCGTCTCTCGCTATCTTTTTTTTCTTTTCTTGTCCGTGTCGTGCCGTTTATATATTTGCGTGCCACGCCCACGCCCACGCCAGAAAGTCCCCAAGCGCCCAGGCACACCACATATGCCCACTGCTGCGGCGACAGAAGATAAATGATGATTTGTATGCGGCAATCCGTTAAATTCATTAAAATATTATGCACAAATTCATTTAGCGAATGCTCAAAGATACGCGTACAGAAAATATAGGACCAGTCAGCGCCAACACCATGGAATACCAGAGAAATTATCAAAAGTAGACTAAGGCAGCGAACTCGACTAGAAGATACCCATTTCATAAGGATAAGGAAATAAGGTTAAAGTATGTAGAGGGCAGTGTTTAACCAGAAGATACCCGAACTTCCCTGTTTGAAATGCATTTAGTTTACTTTAAACAGTATTCATGTCAAGTAAATAAAGAAATAAATTATAGACAACAAATTGGATAGGCTAAGAAATATTTTAAATTTCAAATTCTCTAACTTTTCCAGCTTACAAGTTGGCTGCGTTTACGGATAGGCAGATAGATAAAAGGTCAGTTCGATTCGCCGTCCTGAGCTAGTATATTTGTACTGTATAGTATTAGCCACGCCCCCTTCCGCCTGTTACACACAGTTGCACAAGATAATTGTACACTTTCTACACATTCTCAATGAGTTTAGCGCATACAAAAAGGTCACAAGAGCTGCACAAAGTAATTCAAGCAACTTAGAACAGAGATCAGGGCTCAAATTCCAATATGAAGCAATCTGATGATCGTTGATCATTGCTGTATTGGATATGCGTTTTAAGCCACACTAAATGATAATGGCAAATAGCGTATTAAGTCTTTTAATACTTCTGAGTCTATTCGCAGCTTTTCGCTGACAATTAACAGAATCTTAACGCACAATTGAAATGAGTTCATTGACGACAGCAATTAAATGAGCTAAAGCACCTCGGAAATTTATTAGACACATAAATATGCAAGTTAATATTAATAATAAACAAAGAAAATAATTTTGAAAACCACACGAATTTCACTTGACGCAAATTTATAAAATGCGGTGTGAAATATTTACAATTGCATAACTCAAAAAAAAAATTATTTAAAAAAAAACTAAATTAAAAAAAAAACATTTTGAAACAAGTCGGGCACTTGCCGTGCCGCAAATAGAATTATTGGACAAGCCCACACACGCACACACACACACACACAAACATTCGCAAGCATTTTAGAACGGGTGGAAAAGTTTTGGACTTGCTTTGGAGGCATTTAGCCGCCTGATGGGGAGGCAGTGGATGAGGGAGGGGGTTGCAAAAAACATTAAGTATGTGAATTTAAATTAAAAATATTCACGTCGTATAATCATAATTATAAATTCCGCGAAATTGCAAAATGCGCGCACATCAAAATTATTAAAGCTGCCAAATAGGTAAGAAATCGTCAAGCGGGCGGAAAAGATAGGCAAACAAACGAAACTGGCAAATAGTCATAGTCATACAATGTAGATTGTACACCACAACAGATCGACGCAACTGTTCAAACAACAACTCACAAATGTTGCGATATGGCGATAAATATGAGCGTTACTTCAGCTATGCTCACAAGTAGCTTCAGCTGGGGCTCGCCAATTATCTGCTGTAGTTCAACGTATTGAGTTGAACAAAGCTCAAATATTGATTAATTAGTATAAGCAGCATAGGCGGCAGAGCGAGAAACAAACAAACGAACTTAGCAGAGCGGCCAGAGCCACTGGAGAGGCTTATAAAAGTGCAGAGAGAGCAAGTTTAAAAGCAAACTAAGAACCAGGTCAGCAGTAAAGAAATCAACTAAGGAGAAACAGAAACATGGTTCAAGGTGACAGGTGAAGGCAGCCATAGAAACAATTAGAGGTGAGATGTGAAAGACTAGCTAAAAATAAAGAACTAGCTAGTTTACTGCTAGTAGATAAGCTAGTTTTCTTTTAGTCAGAGCCAAATAAATGAATCTAAATTTAATTTAGAAAACAGCTCAGCAAAAGTGGCGAAGGAAACAGTTTTCATTGATTCTATTAAAGGGCTTAAAGGTATATGAGTGCTCTGCTCTTGTCACTTCTCGTAGATAGAGAGGCTTGAAAGCCTCAACTGCCTCAATCATTTTCGCTTTACACATTTGCAATCTCTAAATGACAATGATGATGCCTTCGCTCATTTAAATGCATTCAGCTAGCCGCACAATGTAATGGGATTGATTGCTGTTTGCTAAATGGCGTCATCTAACGATGATCTGTTTTATGGTGACATCTAGGCGAGCATTACATTATAAAATGACTCGCCAAAAATCGCTTGATGTTCCTGCTGCCACAGCGAGCAGCGTTTAACCAACGCAAAACTTGTGGACACGCGCAATACGGTTGACCAGCAAGTTCTTGGCAGCAACGCGGCTCCCTCTGTACGCCCACACAGCAACAGCAACAAAAGCAATTTGAAATATATAAAAAAAAAAGTGAAAAGCAGAAAGTAAAAGAAAATGGTTAGGAAAAACCGAATGTCAGAAAAACACGAAATTTCTTGTGATTTTCAATGTTTCCGCTTTGACGGATGCATGCGAGCAGCTTCTACGGGGCGCTTAATGAATTTCTTTGCCAAAAAATCATTTGTACGACGGACGGATACTCAATTAAAGGCCACGCCCCCTTGGCTGGCAGGGGCCGGCTGCCCATTGTGTCAATCAGTGGCGACAAAATTGCAAATGCAACGTCATGTAAAAGGCTTCAATTAGAATTTTCACTGATTTGTGATTGCTGATTTTTCGATTTGTCGTCCGACCGTTTTAATAGTAAGACCCAATTTTTGATTGTATCAATTGGCAGAGCAATTAAGATTCGCAGACGGCCAGGCATTAATCATCATCAGCAAGTGGCAAGCGGCAAGCAACGAGCGATTGATAATTATCATTTTGGGAAGGCTCTTTTTGATTTTGTGCAGAGCGCAAATATATAATTATAATCAATTCAATTATAAATTTCCAATTTCCAAACGCCGTATATAGACGCTGACCGTCTGGCCAGGAAGCTCTACCAAACAAATTAAGCACAAGCCAAACAAATGCCAACAGCACACAACGAAAACAAATTGACGCACACGCCGGAAAAGCATTGAGATACAATTGGAAAAAAGGAAACCAAAAAGTGCCCCCCAAATACAAATACACAGCCACAAGTCACTGCCTCAGACATAGCCAGAAGCCACTTAATGTGTACACAAATAATTTTATAGCTTCTTCTCTGGCGCACATGCAACTCAATTAAATTGGATTAGTATTGATCATAGCTGGCGAATTAACGAACAAGAATAACAGTTAATGAATGCTTTCTTTGCCAACTCAAATTTGCGGCATTAGCTAAATAACGAGCCTAAACGCTGTACAGAGCTGTGGCCATAAGCTTACTCTGCTACATATTTAAAGAGCCTCTAACCAGGCTAAACAGGAGGCAAGGTATTCCTTGTCTGCAAGTTCCTCTATTGTGCGGCGCTGCAGCTAGCAATCACTCTTCTAATAAGCTCTCTTAAGTTTACCATCTGCTCTGAGCTGTCGCGTCCATTTACTATACACATAAGCAAGAGATAGATCAATAGATCAATAAATAATAATATAATTGTACCAAGTCAACTAAAGCCTTCAATTCAATGCAGAAGTGATTGATGAGAGTTGCCGAAAAGGCGGCTCGGCATCTTCCAACTTCTGCCTTTTCCATAAATCAAAATATCGATTTGTATCGATAAGAAAATGGAATGAGTAATCGAAAGCAAGCGATAAGCTCATAGTGCATAGATAAATATATATATCTATATATAAAATCTTTAGCTATTGTTCTGATTAAGGAGATATATTCACATAAGTGATCTAAATAGTTAATATAATATTTAGCATACTAAAAAAGTTCCATTAAATTATTTAACACTCATTAACATATGGATTCAAATTCTATCTCACATTCATATGCCCATATCTTGGTTCAAGAGGTGCATTAAAAAACAAGAACGGTGCATGCTTCAATTTCGTTGGAAAAATGTGTTTTTGCTAAACATTTTATGAACTTGCGTCTCGCTGCGCTGGCACTTTTCGTCTTCGAAAAAGGCGAACGCGAACTCATACGCCATGTGGCACCATAAATATTTATAATGAAAGCAACCTTTGGTTCGCTACGCGCTGCCAAAGAAAATTCAATCAGACAATAGTTTCCGATTGCAATTTGTTGATATACAGCATATGGTATACCCATGCGCACGCCTACGCCTACGCCCACGCCCACGCCCACGCCCACTGAGCACCTGCATCCGAGATAATTAATTATACATATATTTTAAGCTATAAGTTAATTACACTTCAAACGGAGGGTGGCTCGACGGCTTTGCGTAGGTCGCACACACTCTTGACATTTTGACCTTTTTATGCTCTGTACACCAAATGGAATGCGAGTATATGGGCTTTCTGTGCCGGCTATCGGAAATTTAAATATAAGTTTTGGATAAAGATGAAATGCTGGGCTCAGAAATAGAGACGACTTTTAGCTTGCCACAAACTGAGAGTTCTTTTGCGAACAGTGTA